CCTTTGTGCACAGCCAGCCTTGTACTCTTCTAGGTTCAAAAAACTGTCGTCCATAAAATGCATTGCACATATTCGAACATCTGGGTTGTGCTGTTCTGTTGTAAATAAATCTTAACCAATGATTCCTAATTGCATCTACTTCCGGAAGGCCAAATAAAGTGCTTTTGCTTTTGCCTAGAAACACACAGCGTCTCCCTGACATGGCTGCTTCAACACTAACTGCGTTCCTGAAACCACGCCTTCTTTCTTTGCGTGCACATTTGGGCCGCATTATGCTAATATTGCCACATAGTGAGGTAGGTATGTGGGGGCGTGTTAGAACGAGCCGTTTTAGGGTGGCGTGGCAGAGTCTTAACTTTGATAAAGAATATCTCTTTGGTTTTGACACTTTAGTCTTTGCAACTTTACAGATCTTCTTTATGCACCAAGAGCTTGTAACACTCCAAAGAGAAAGGAAAACTTGAAATCGCATCATATGACCCCTTTAAGCAGCAACAGTGATCTTAGCACAAGCAATCACCATGTTGAAAATCCTTGTTTAATAAACACAGGACTGAATTAATTTGTTATAAATATAAAATGTAACATATACTGTAGATACACAAGCTGTAGACAAAATAGCTTTAGAAAATAAGGATTGTTTGTTTGGTAAAGGGCAAAATATATCAAGATCCTTGTATTTCATACAGTTTAGAAACTGCCTGGCCATTAACATCACAGCATTACTAAAGAGCCAGAAAAGCTTACATTGTATGCAGCTGATAACAGCTATCTCACTTCTACACACAAAAAGAATTTAGACTCTGAAATACACTGCACATTTCTACATTCTCTCTAAAGTTAGTGGTAAAATTGTAACTGAAAGGTCAGGTGTTACTCTTAAAATGACTGTTGTCGAAATAAGACAATAAACTTAAATAGTCAAAACTGCATCAGCGAGACAAAGTGAATTTCTTTTGTTAACACTTTTTATTGCTGCACTCTCTACACTACAGAACCACTTGCTTGGTATTTTAAAGTGTAGATCAAGAACAATGTTGACCACTAATTCATTCAGTTAAACACCGATATTCATTTAGAAGGCAGAGACAGCAGCTGGGATCACTATAAACAACACTAAAGATTTTTGGCTGTTCTTACAAGGAAAGGCTGCAAAATGTGTTCAGTCAGACATGCCAGTTAGCACTGACAGATTCATTCGTGATATTTAATGACCTGAAGATCATGCAATCCATTCATCTATGACACATGAGAACAGGTTTGCCTACGCAGGAATGAGAGGCACATTACATCCTGACACCCGAAATAAAAACTGCAAACCTGCAATGCTCATGTGTACACCAACAACAGTAAACAAGCTGTCAGTGTAGAACCGTTATGATTAACTTACTCAACTGGTCTAACTACCACATAATGATTATAATGGACCGTTAACGTTCCGTCTGCTCTAATTCTACTAGAGATTCAGTAATATATGTCACATACACATACCGTTAGCAGTCAGAGAGCATCATGCATAAATATATATACAACCGTAGTGAATCTAATGCGCCACAATAGAAACAGAAAGGGATTAATTAGCTCAATATTGTAGCTAACGACAAGCTAACAGGCTAGCTAGCTAACAAGCCTAATGTACCTCTCTCATACTCACTAATGTTTCTACGGAGAAATTATGATAATTTTCAATTATCGTAAACCCATTAATTTTTTTTTTCAGTTTAAGAAATATAGGTAAATGAGGCTAGATGCGAGTTGAAACGAAGAACACAGTGCGCAAACACACGGTCAGTGTGCTGTACTCACAATGTACTCGCGCACTTGGCTGTGGAAATTCTGCTCTCTAATCGTCACATCGTCTTCTTCCATTCTTCATATTGCAGAAACACATTCATTAGCAACGCATTTTTGTGGCGATTCCATTCACTGTAAGAGAAAGCGCCTCTGTAAGACAAACAGACTACCGAAGTAGAGCTCGACTCGACTGACTGACAGCGCTCGCGTCTCAGCACCAAATAAACGACCAAAACAGTCAAAATATATTGCGTCATCATTCAGCGACACGCGACAGGACGACAGGTTCACGCACACAGGCGAGCTGTCACTGAGAATAAAGTAGATTTATAATGTAAGATTTACATAATTCAAAATATTTTCAGCGTTGTTTCGGACAGGTCTGACGTGTCCTGACGTAGCTGAAACGTTATACTGAGAGTGCAATTAACAGCATATTTTGCCAAACATAGAAATATATATGTTTTTGGCCATGTACATACATATTTTTTGGTCAAGCAAGGAAGCTTACACAATGCACATATTAGCACTAATTAAGACCTGTATCCTGTACACAGTACTACTACTTCCACTACCAATAATAATCCATCCATAAATATACCTATCTATCCAGCCTATATTATTATTAGTAGTATTGTAAAAAAATATAATTTAATTTTTTGCTAAACGTCAGAGTATATCAGGCTATGTGCAGATCTCTTGGGATTAGGCTACTCGTGTCTCCAAGTAGTTTAAAATATATAGTCCTATATATTAGAAACAAAACCTTTATGCTTATATGCACTCTATATGTATAGGCACATATACTTATTTATTATTATCTTAATTCATTGCAACAAGTACGCTCCGGCTCAGTAGATGGCGATAAAGCCACATAATTTTGTTTTCTCTACTTTAATAACGTCTAACGAAGAAACAACATCAATGGCGGCCTCCAGCTTCTGCATGTGTTATCTTTTCTGGTAACTCTTTCATGGGATAATTTGCGATATTCAGCCTGTAAACACGCAACCATTTACAATAAATAAAGATTGTATGCACAGCCAGATATATTTAATTGAAAAATGAAGGCAAAGGCGCAGCGCAAGAGCAATGGGAAAGCTGGAAAGCAAACACACAGGGATACACTTCAGAAATTCAGGGATTCGGTTAATAACTTTGTGAAGAGCAAAGGCGGCTTCGGTGAAAATGAAAGCGACCAAAGAGGAATATTCGTAAAGAGGAAAAGTAGAAAAGAGCTGCGCAAAGAGAAACGTAAGTTAAAGAAAGCCAAAAAGAAAGGCCACTACACGGGTCAGTCACTCCCGAACCCGAGCGAGGAACCTGCTCCAAATACTCCTGCTGAGGAGGAAAAGACACAGAAACCAGCCCTAAAGCCGACTGGAACTCTTAAAAATGCCACTCAGAGACAGCAGAAGACAAATACAGACAATGTTCATATTAAAGATGGTGAAGACGAAACGACAAAAAGGAAGGTCCACTTCTCCGAAGATCTGCCAAAACAGAGAAAGAAATCTAGCCTGAACGAGAGCAGAAAGCGGGTTCTATTAGAGGCGAATATCGAAGAGGACAAAGTAATAAAGAGACTAGAGAAACGCCTTGGACTGAATAAAAGAAAGAATAAAAAGAGTCTACCTCAGTCATTCACCAACGATGGACTCGATTACATTTTAGGGATTCTTGAGCCTGGAGCATCTGCAACGGGCCTGTATGAGAGTGATGAAGAAATGGACATTGACAAAGCTAAAGATGACTTTGATGAGTTGGACGAGGATAGCGATGGGAAAGTGACAGATGATGAGAACAAGGATGACAGTGAGGATGTAGAAGATGACACCCAGATAGAAGATGAGGTGGAAGGAGATGAAGATGAGGAAGATACAGATGCATCAGAGGAAAATGATGTGGAGGAGAAGAAAGACTCTCAACAAAAAACACCTGAAAGCCAGAAGCCCGTATGTCATTCTAAATCTGGATAATATTTATTATTATTTAGGTTTAAATCTCCCTCTACCTAATGCTCAATTCAAGTCACATTTATTTCTACAGTACAGATTGTTTCAAAGCAGTAATAAGCAGGAAATTGTGTTAATGTTGCAAAATTCATCAATTATGGAACAAATTCATTTTCAGTTGTAAAGCATTTCAACAGAAGACAGTAATGTCATTATTCAGCTCAATAGCAGTGTCAGTGTTACGAAGTTCATCAGTCATGAAGCAAGCTTAATTCAACTATAAAGCAGCTCTAAAGTGACGTGACATGTGGCCAAGTATGGTAAGCATACTAGGAATTAGTGCTCTGCATTTAACCCATCCTTAGTGCACACACACAGCAGTGAACACACACACACCGTGAACACACACCCGGAGCAGTGGGCAGCCATTTATGCTGCGGCACCCGGGGAGCAGTTGGGGGTTCGGTGCCTTGCTCAAGGCCACCTCAGTCGTGGTATTGAAGGTGGGAGAGAGCGCTGTACATTCACTCCCCCCACCTACAATCCCTGCCGGTACGAGACTCGAACCCGCAACCTTTGGGTTACGAGTCCGACTCTCTAACCATTAGGCCACGACTTCCCCATAACAGAGCCGTTGTCAGAAGTGGGATTGGGATTGTATGCAAGACAATAATGTTATATTCAGTGTCATAGAGTCAGTACTGGTAATTACTCTTTTTTTTCCATATTGCATGCTCATCAGAAGTATGTTTTGAAGCGAATTGTGGTTTCTTCTTTTTATAGAATCCTGCCACAGCAGGCAAGTATGTTCCACCTTACTTACGAGAAGCCGTGGACAGCAAACGCAAAGTCGAGCTGGAGAAACTGAAGCGCACTGTGAAAGGTCTGATAAACAGGTAAGGTGCAATGAAAGGTATAGACTACGTAATTGCACAATTTGAAGAAGCTTTCTTTTTAAAGATCCGTTTGATAACCCTGTCCTGTTTGGCAGGTTGAGTCAGCCCAACATGGCATCTATCAGCAGTCAGTTGGAAGAGATGTACATGAGCACCAGCAGGAAGGACATGAACGATACACTCACTGACATTCTGCTGGCTGCCTGCGTCACACCTGCTCTCATGCCTGAAAGGTTACCCTTTCAATAATGACTTCATTTAATAACCCAGTCTTTGATAATCAGTTTATTGTTTCAATTGATTATGTTTACATGAGAAAGCCAACACACTGATATTCTATTTTAAATTAATATTCTTCTTCTTCTGAGATGAAAGGCCCTAGGGCGTTCAAGACATATCCACCAAATTAGTGTCAGACCTTCAAACTGTTTTGACTTATGGCTGTAATGCACTACACAAATTTTGCCCTGATTTGCAGTCTGGAAGGTGGATGTGTAAATGCTAGTTGCTGAAAGTCAGAGCCAGTCTTCAGATTTTGGCCAGGCTGAGTTGACAGGTTTCGCAGAGTGTAGTGTATAATGGGCACAGATTTTTTTTTAAGCTTCAGACTATGATTCCATCTAATCAGAGGATATGAAACATGTTGAAACATGAAACAGGTGATTTTAGAACACGTATTGTTTATATTTGTCACACATCTCCTAGCAATTCATGTAGTGCATTGCAGCCTTCAGTGTGCTATAATTTGGAATGTCATAGCAATCACCCAGAACACCCTGGTAACCATCTTGCGACATCCTAGCAACCACATGGTCACTACCTGGCAGTCACCCAGAACGCCTTAGCTACATCCTCTTGAGCACCCTAGCAACTGCATAGCAGCTACCTAGCAACCATGTGGCAAAACCTTAGCAACGGCCACGCAACCACCCAGTACAGCACTGAATATCTTTTAAAACTACTTTAAATGTTCTAGCTACGCTCTCTTAAGCCAACATCAAAGTTTGTCTTTACTGTTTCCTGGCTCACTTAAATACACACTTAATAAATTAAATATGACTTTAAAACAACACACTAATAAATCATTGTAAATTATTTTAACTATCACTGACTCTCTGTTCCAGGCTTCTCATGGAGCACATCCTTCTTGTCAGTGTCCTTCACTTTAGTGTTGGCCTGGAGGTATCTAATATATTTTACTTCACCTTACACTTGTCATCATGGCAATATAGTCCACACTCACTCACTCATTCACTCACTGTTGTTTTCAGTGGTATAATGTTATAAGAATCTTTATTATAGTGTGTAGATTTGGTTGACGCTGGCTAATTTCTTACTTTCTCTCCTGGTTTCCCTGAGGTTGGAGCTCATTTTCTGGAGACTGTAGTCCGTCAGTTTGATAAAACCTACAGTCAACTTGATGCTACAGACAAAGAATGTGACAACTTGATGTCCATAATTGCCCACCTCTACAACTTCCATGTGGTCCATGCCCTCCTGGTGTTTGACATTCTGAAGAAGCTGGTGACATGTTTCAGTGCAAAGGATGTAGAACTGGTTCTGCTGGTGCTGAAGAAAGTTGGGTTCGCTCTGAGAAAGGATGACCCGCTAGCTCTTAAGGAGCTGATCTCCGAGGCTCAGCGGAAAGCCAACGCTGAAGGAGAGCGTTTTCAAGACCAAACAAGGGTAAGACACCTGTCTTCTAGTGCTTAGGAGTTATCATATTATATTTGCTTTTAATCATTTACTAGACTCATTAATCCAAAGCAAATTACAAATGAGGACAACTGAGGTGAATCTCAAATGAGGTCATATGCTGCAGTTGGTCTCAAGTGAAAACATTTGTTATGTTGACTTGCTTGTCAGATTCGGTTTATGTTGGAGACTATGCTGGCGCTGAAGAACAATGACATGAGGAAGATTCCAGGTTATGACCCTGAACCCGTGGAGAAGTTAAGGAAACTTCAGAGGACTTTGGTGAGAAAATGACTGATGTTAATTTGCATTACTTATGTAATTTTCACTGTTACATTTATAAGGTGGACTAGCAATGCAAAAATGCTTAGAGTTGGTAACTAGTTTATATCCACCTGTATTATCAACAATAAGTTCGTTCAAGCCTTAATAGTAAAATAAATATTTGGTATTTTTGGCGCTAAATGTACTTCTCGCTTTGTCCACCAGGGGTCAGACTAACTTCATAGTTTGGTGTGGTCACATTGATCAGACTTTTGTACAGTATTTTTTTAGAGAATCGTGGAATGTGTTTGCAGTCCGTTATCTTGTTTCTCATGCACTAAACATAACATTCTTAACAGATTCACAGCAGTGCTGGAGGAAGTGACATGAAGTTAAGAGTCTCAC